TGTGTTTTGTACTCGTCGAGAGCGAAATTATCGAGATTATGAATCACTGTGATTTATAGCGTGTATTATAAAAGTTGTTAAGTTTAAAGTGACGAGAAACTTACTGATTGTGGAAGTTCTGTGTACTAAAAGTTTGTATCGAGGAAGAATAAACTGGTTTAATCAAGAAAGGATTTGTATCGCTGAAGATCCTCGAATAGAATTTCTACCGGAAACAAATAAATAAGCAGATACATAACAATATGAAAGACGTGTTACTACATAAATGAATAAATTCTTCCATACAAACTAATCATGTAAGGTTTCAGTTAGTAGGCTCAGAAAAAAAAGCAACAAAAACTAGTTTATCAACTATATCAAAGCAGACATTTCTACATTTAGATTTTTGTAACTGTTACGGTAACATATCTTAATATGTTAACACTTCTCATCGTAGCCTAATATACTATTTTTCGTATGGGTAAGAAAAACCTCACATTTCAATATCACACATATTGAAACATTTCAAATAAAACTTCAACATACACTAATATACTAATTACTAAACCATTTTAGTTTTTAATATATGTCTAACTTAATATTTTATGATACATGATATTTTGATAAATATCAGATTCTAATAAATCTATATTTATATTTGATATAGAAAACTCATGTTTCATCATATTTGGTAAACAACTAAGTCAACATTGCCTGGAAACAACTAATTTTGTTACTACACAAGTACGTAATGTAGAAATATATCTTATACATTTTACATGTTTATGTAAATAGCATATATTAAAATTGAATACAACTTTCATTTTCAAAAAAAAATATTCTAAGCCGACTGACACAGTCTGAACATCTGACCCTTTGCTGTACATCGGACACAATATGCAATAACTATACCGTAACCATCAAATATTCAGTAATATAATATTGTGAATACACATTTAGTGTTTTGTATCACTATGTAATGTGAAACAACCAGTAAACTAAATTTATTGAATTTTAAGTTCAGCGACATACAAAAAATATATGATATGATTATGTAGAGTTTGAACCATTTATTTTCAATATTTACAATAATGTAAATACATAGCAAAGATGTATTTTAATTGACTTTTATTACAATGATTTCTGCCTCTTCTTTCTACCCATTGGCACAGCGGTATGTCTTCTGACTTACAACACTAGAAACCTATAGTGGACAGAGCACAGATAGCTCATTGTGTAGCTTTGTGCTTAACTTCAAACAAACTATCTACCCAAAGGCGACGTGTTGAGAAAATGAGGTCATCATATTTCGTTTATAGAAACACTGTATGGGTGTGATCACGTCAGTGTCCATACAGAATATGTAATAATAGTTGTATCCTTGACTTTTGAAAGCGAAGCAGCAGGTGTCCAACAGAACATTGTCTGAAACAGGATGTATGAACACTTTAGAAATTTATTCCTTATTTTCGCAAGATTTTTGTATGCGAAAGAAGTTTGGAGGTGTTTTTACCCGTAATCGACTGCCTGATCATGCAGAAAAACAATTATACATCATCAACATGGATCCGAATCATAAATGTGGTAGCACTGGGTCTGTATTTACATTGGTCGAAATGAAAAAGTAGAATATTTTAATCCACTGTCTCCACATAATCTCAACATAAGAAAATTCATCAATAAGAACTGTCCAATGCCGTCGTACAACCAAAAAGTACTGCAAGGACCGCATTCGTCTGTGCATGTGTGTGTGTGTGTGGACATTATTGTATATAATGTGCTTATTATCGTTGTCGACATGTGTCCAATGAAGTTCAGTCTTCAAAGATTTTTGAAAAATGGTGTCAGGGTTTTAAGTATAGGTGGGCTAAGGATTCTTCTTCAGTAGGTGTCTGTGACTTGTTGGCGATAAATCCGAACAATAAATGACAACACACAATCCACTTGTTTTAAGATAATACATTCAAAACAAGCCAAAGATATACACAAAAATTCTTTACACTATAGGATGTTACATTTGTATCTAAAACTCTAAATAATTCTATATTCTTGTCAAAAGTCCACTTAGACTGATTCAATTAATTTAGAATCCAGTTGACAAGACCAACTATTTTTTCACAATAGTATCAGTGAATTATTCACTTACGCTACCCCATGGATTACCACAATTCTATTCTGAACTTCAAATAACTGTCTCCTTTTCATCAAAGTCCATACAGATGGGTTCAATTATTTTAGAACACCCTTTGACAAGACAAATTATTCTCCTTGTCACTATTAAACTGTGAAACTTGCTTTAAAATATCGCCCATTATGGCTAATCACTCACACGCTGGCTAACTTCACGTTTTCTTTTCCTAAATAATTTTCTGACTGAAATGCTCTTGACTTTTTCTCTACTTCACTTAACTTGCTATCGCAGGGCCATCTATATAGATATGGATATACTTTACCCAACTGAGGCCTCGAATTTTCGACAAACTACGCAAGCTGCGCTATAAGGTAACAATACTCAGTTAAGTAACGAGAAAAATACAGAAGATTCGAGTACTGTGACGTCAACAATATTAGTAAAGCCTAAACAACAGTGTAATTGCAAACATAACATACGATTCGTACAGAGTTACTGCAGCGAAATTTATTACAACTAACACTTTTAAAACAATCCATCTTCAACATTCCTGTCTTGAAACTAAATAATCATTAAATATTAAATCACAAATAAACTAAATAACTTTTACACTAAACATTTTCGTAGATCCAACAGGCATGCTTTTTCGATATTGTGAAAGTATTCGACACTGTATGGCACAATGGTTTAAGGTTCAGAACGTATGAAATGGATCTATCGTGAGGTATTATTCACTGACTATAACTTCCTGGACAATAGAAAATGTAGAATTAACATGGGTAGAACCTACCCAGAGTACTTTACTTCAGATGCAGGCTTCACCCAGGGAGGGGTTGTTAGCCCCATTTTATCTATCGTGTATGTAAGCGACATGCTATTAACAGACGCAAATTTCTGCCTCGGTTCGCAATTTGCAGATGACGTGGTAATTTGAAAGAGTTCCAACACCGTCCATAGCAGCCACAAATCTACAACCCGTATTAAATCAAATATTAAAGTTTTGCCAATACAGAATTATAATCAACGTCCTAAAACACAAACATTCTTATATTCGAAAAGAACAAAAGCTCTGGGAAACCCACCAAAAATGTATATGCATGGAACTCTTCTTCGGACTGCCACGTCAGCTAAATTTTAGGTATCACATATGACTCTAAATTAAATTGGAAAATCCATATTAACCAGATTCGAACCCAAATGTGGAGATGAGCAAATTACGTCAATAACCTGTCTGGTAACAATTCAGGTACTTACCACAGAACATTATTAAAATATACAAACAATACATGCGACCAATAATCGAATATGCCAGTCCAACAAGTATAAACATTTTACAAACACTAATCAAAAGACAATTACAACCAATACATCACTCAATAGTCACTGCAGCAAAATAATAACCCATACATTGGTCGAAATGAAAAAGGAGAATATTTTAATCCACTGCCTCTACATAATCTCAACATTAGACTCCTGCTGTACACCCACCACCAGTAAAATAAATAACATAAATGTCTGTTCTCCAATAACAAGTTACTTGTATACAATGACACATATACTTTTTTAACTAGAGCTACTTTGTTTTTTAACAAAATATACGATCGTATTATATTATCTGCTTATTACTACTATTACTACTACTACTACTACTACTAAGCGTTCGTGCACACTGATTGGCTGTCTCTATAGGGCGTTTCATATTTGCATCTAAAGTCCGTCGAGCGAAGCAACAAAACTGTGCGAACACACTACCGAGTAAGTACTGACTCTGTATTTCAGGTAAGTACAAGTCCTAGCCATTCAGTTATTGTTAGGAAGATAACGCATTTAATGCACCCAACGAAAAGGTTCTAGGTATTTCTTTTAGGTGTGTATAATATGTATATTTTTCAGCTTTAAATACTTTGCAATGGGAAAATACAACTCATCGTAATGAAGTAATACGATAATAACATAATGTCCATACAGCACGTGCAAAACTAAAATTTGTCAGCGTACCCTTATGGCGGTATTGAACTTCACGATGAGAAAACGAACACAGAGAAGCCTGGACGTTGGCGATTGAGTGTATTTTCAGCTTCCGATAATTGCAGTTGCTAACCTTATTTAATGGATCCATTAAAGTTTGACCAAATGAAAACTTTATATTTTTAATACTTCGTTTAAGCTTTTCGGGAAACTATTGCCGTTCATAAGTGCATATTTTTTTCTCGTGGAAAAATTCCAATAACAAAAAAGAAAACTTCACGAAATTAAATATAATCATAAAACTGGCTTATTTTTTAGTGATTATTTGTATTCTTAAGATAATGATTTAACTTGGTAAAGTGGTAAATTTTCTTGGAAAAAAAATTGTGAAATCCTTGAAGAAAACTTCTTCTAAGAGATATAAAAAAGTTATAGAGGTTTCAATTCACCAGAAAACGCTGGAAGTTTTTAAGCTACCGAGCTCTTCTTTATTCTGATATGTTGATAATTATTACAATGCAACAAAACAGGGTTGGAAGTATTTTTACTCCTCCCGAATAGCAAGGATGTTTTAAATTATTTTTATTTGTACAGCTACCGATGGCAGTTTTATAAACATAAAGAATGCCCAAGTCATTAAAACCGTAAGGCTTTATACTATAAAAGGGTAACACTGATGTTAAAGGAAAATGCTAATAGATGTGCATGTGGTTTTCATATTGCATAAACAGGCTTGAAAACTTTTGAACATTTCGGCTGATAGAATATGTAATTGATGCACACGTGTAAGATCACTTCAGTATTTTCAGTAATAAAAATAGATAGATAAATGGGTTTCATCCTATTCAGCCCTGTTCGTATTTACAATTAATACTTACTGTTTGAGTATAGTTAAAAATTGTTCGCTTTTTTTCATTTTCAGTTCAACGGTTAGAGAGGAAAGAGTTAAGAGCATACGATATTGTAGATTTTGGCCTGCATGCACAACACCAGGTAACCTAACAACATCTTAGTAACCACTATCTCTTACTACAACCTTCAAAAGATGTCGTCTACAAGTAGCACAAAACAAACTTCACCCAGTAACTGTAAGACTCATCAAGAACAAGGATGTTGTCAACCAGATGAATCTAATATACAATGTAACAATGGCAATATAAAAAGAGGCTGTCAGTCTTACGAAAATTGTACAAGTGGTCATGATAAAGACAAAGATGAATGCTGCCAAAGTGACGAACATTGCATGGAGATTAAACCTGATGACACAAACACGGATAAATGTGAACATGGTGATAGTCATCATCACTGTGACGCACATGACGATGAAGAAGCATTTCTGTTAGAAGCAACTCATAAAGATGTCATGCCGCCGGAGAAAACATGCGAAATTTATGATAAACACGCAGATTATTATGAAAAGGTAACGTGATATACTTTTAGTATGTAGATAGTTGTTAAAAAAGGTGCCTGTACTCCTTTAGGATGACAGAACGAAATCTAGTTAACTAATATTAACAATTATGTGTTCAAAAGTTGTAAGGCCATCGTGAAATATCTTTAAAATTTTTATGGTTAACAACGTAAAAAACTGGTAGCATTGTGATCCGAATGCGTTATAAAATATAGTATTTTTTACAGTGGTTTCTGTAACTTGAGTTAGAAATAATGATTCAATATTGTTAAGCCATTTTTTCAGATATTTACTGTAGTTTTACACTTTACGAATCTCAGTTTTGGTACAATAGATGAAAGAGATACCAGAAACGATAACACTCAGTAATTTGCTTTATTGTATATCATAACAATGTGTATCTATACATTATTTAATGGGTACTTTCAACCTGTTTTGCAGTTCATAATAAAACATGAATCTGAAACTTGGTACGTAATTGTGACCGAGTTGATGAACTTTCTGAAAGAGAAAAGTGGCAGAATCTTGGACGTCGGAGCTGGGACAGGAGCAACTTCAAACGTGGTATTGTACAGAACTGTCTATGTTAAGAGTAGTTGTTATTTTAAATATTGTTGAGAAATCCCAGATCATCACTCTAGAATATTTCTGAATGATAAACATGTTGCTATATTTAAAACGCTTTTACTCTTTCATAATCTGTAGGAAGTTATGTTATAACTTGAAAAAGAATGAACTAACTAACATTACATCGAGAAAAAGAAAAATAACATCAGTGAAATATCTTCATTAATTGTAATACACTGAGTTTGATATACGCTGAAATATAAGAAAATAAAGCTCAAGTGTTTGGTACATTCCAATTGAACAGCACCTTATATGGCGCATGGGGTAAAATGTCAGTCCAGGGACCCGAAGGTACAGGCGTAGCTCATAGAAGAAACATTATATGATATAAATCAATCAATTTCATAAATAAAAATCAGAATAACCAAACTTTACGTTTTAAAAGAATTTTCCACCAATTAACTTTAATATGAAATATTCTATTAAACTACAGTGTAAAAATGCATTATATTATGATTTTCATTTTACAAAATTTTACAATTGTATATATATATATGTGTGTGTGTGTGTGTGTAATAGCCTTTTCCGATGCAAAATATCCATACACTCGGATCATAAAGATATGCTCAGATCGGTGATCTAGAATTTCTAAGAGGGAGTATTCTCTATAATTAACGGCATAAACAAACAAAAGAATATTGATCAACTTGTGGCAACCAGAAAGTGTCCTATAACAATTTGTACACCGGCCATGGTTAGCAAAGTGCACCATCTTGTAAGAGGCGAAAATCCATCAATAAAAAGGTCAAAGTAAAAGCTAATCACGTGCTCCAGGGAACAGTACTTACCATAATGAAGAAGGATCTTCATCTGCAAGAGTAAAACAAATCACGTGCACAAAGCTGCTTCCACAATATGTATGTTCTACGAAAATATACAGTTCAAGCTAGTGGATACAACGACTATAAATTTGTGTGATCAGACTGTTGAAACATGTGCTAAGAAACCATCGCCCTTGTATTCTAGATGACTTATGAAAAGCAGCAGGAAGGACGAATGTGCTTTGAACATGACAACCTAACGATAAAGTCTTTTGCAATGGAAACACTACTATGGGCTACTATGGTAAAGGCGATCGTCCGTCAGATGGAGCATGCCCGAACTTTGTGACATGGATTGTAACTATGGGTTTCAAAATCATCTTGGTAAAATGTACTCAGTCTCTGTATTATCAAACGCTAGGAATTGTTGGTGATTTTATAGAGCATATTGAAAAAGTTTCTAATGTTGTATCCTGTTTCAATAATGTATTTACCAAATTTCAGTAAAGTATTTTCTAGCACACTCAACGTGGTTGTTAACACAGATTGTTGGATAAAAATAAAAATCAGATAAAATACAAAACTTATCAGATAACAAAACTTAAGTATCTGTGAATAATTCTATGAAGATTGAGCAGTACAAAAGAAAGTTGTGGATTGACTTTATTTCTCGTGAAATGTAACCAATAAAATGTGTTCAATTTATCGTTTATATTTCTTTCAGCTAAAACAACGTGGATATAATAATATTGATGCCCTAGATGGAAGTGAAGGAATGTTGAAAATAGCCAAAACCAAAAATATCTATCAGAATTTTATCCATCTTATTCTGAAGGGTGGAGTTCGCATCCCCAATATTGAAAATGGTATGTTGATTCTAAGCTCTAATTGTCGTAATGTAATAATATAGATGCAGATTTGAAATATGATTCTGAAGAGTTAAACACAGACCTATTCATGATCACTATATCAACTTTAAGTTTGATTATAACAACACCGATTTCGTCAAATAAGATATTATATTCATAAGTAAATATATCAATATCGACTATTTCTTTCTTTCTTCACTGATAAGCCCAAATTTACACAATGAGCTATCCGTGCTCTGCCCAACGCAAGTATCGAAACCGAGTTTTAGCATTAAAATAAAGAAAAAATTAGGCATTACACCGGATATGCCCCCCAGTGGCACAGCGGTATGTCTGCGGACTTACAACGCTAAAAACCGGGTTTCGATACCCGTGGTGGGCAGAGCACAGATAGCCCTTCTGTAGCTTGGTGCATAATTAAAAACAAACAAACAATACACCGGATATATTCTTGAAGTAAGTATTAATTTACACAATGTTTAATTAAACTTTATTCCACTTTATTGAACATAATTATCTCAATTTAAAACTGTCATTCTCTATATGTTATTATTCAGTACAGTTTATCTCAGCTGATTGATCTACTATCAGCTTGGAAGAATACAAAAGCTATAAAATTCAAACTAAGTAATACTTAATTATACGAAGTGAAGTAAAAGTACAATGAAAATACACTGGATCAGTAAATACTATTTAATTATCGTTAATATAATGTATGTGTGTAGGTAGAAAATTAGTACTTAAACAGTCAAGGAAATACTAAAATTAAAAGGAAGGACTAGGTTAAAAAATAAATCCAAACCAGTGATGAAGGACAAAACAAGACACACAAAAACTGGAATTGAAGATACTGCATAAATTAAAAGGATACCCAGGATACAAGCTATAATGTGGGATATAAAATATCAGGGCACATTTTATATCCCACACAAAGAGTAAAAGTTTTGTTCGTTTTAGAGCAAAGCCACATTGGGCTATGTGCTGTGTCCACTTAGGGGAATTGAACCCCGTAACTTAGCGTTATGAGTTCTTAAACTTACCGTTGTCCTACTGGTAAACCGGAGTGAAAGCAATTTAAAGAAGTCCTTATTAACACATTCATTACTGCTTGTTCTGGCAAGAGTAATCCAATAGTTGGCGGTGTGTGCTGTGGAATAGCTGCTTTCCATATAGTCTATCAGTTCAAAATCAGAGACGGCTAGCACAGATTGTCCTTGAGTAGTTTTTCACGAATATCGGAAGACAAAAAATGTTGAGAAACAAAAATACTTATTTTGTCCCTATCTTTTATAATGACAAACAGTCTTTCCCCAGGAGCTACATTGATTACAAGAAGCAATGTATAACTAATTGAAATTTGAATTGGAATGAGCGGCAAAATGCAAAGATTACTGTAATATTTTATCACTGTTCATGCTACACTTACTTCAGTGTTCTATTTCACAACACATGAACGTAATCGTTATATTTATAATGAGAAGTGGTTGTGAAAAAGATGATCAGTTAGACAGTGCATTTTCCTAAAACTTTTCTTTTATGTTAGACTGTACCCATCCAATACAAAATAAGAAAACTAATTACATAGAATATAACACGATTGAATCGTATTTTATGGTATTTTTACAGATACCTACAGCGCTGTTGTGTTAAATGGAGTATTTTGTCCAAATCATTGTGACTCTGAGGTTTTTCCTGAACTGATTCGTGTTGTAAAGCCAGGTGAGTTTGTAAACTGTACTTCTGAACAATGGTCGCGAGGGGTGCTGCCCTACATTATATAAAGTGAAGTTTTTCATTAGCTGATAATTCTATTGACGTTGCATAAACTCCTGCTTTAAATAGTGTACATCAAATGCGGGTTTTTGAACTTTTAATTAATTAATAAGCACTGTAGTCATTTTAAATAATCAATTTGATAACTAACTGATCTGTCACGGAAAGGGGAAAAGGGAGAACATTGTAATTTCTCACTCCTAAAGTCTAACCTTAGCTCTCCACTACTGCTTTTAAAATTGTAACATGACTTGAAACAATTAAATACAAAATATATTCACATACTTAAATTAATTATTATATGATGAAGTAAAACCGACTCAAAACACCATAGATAATAAAAACTCTGCCATCGTTATTATTCTAAAACATTTGGCTCTAAAAGTGACCACAATAATCTGATTACGTTTCTATCTTATTATATTCGACAGCTCCAAGATTGATCACGGTATTTTTATCTCCGTTCGTAACCCTATTACCTCAGGTACCATTTTTAAATCCCCTTCTGTGCAAATCACAAAGTGTTACTGAGTTATATTCAAAATTTAATTAAACCACTTTATTATCAATATATTTTAATGAAATTAGCATTATCAAGTATGTTATGATTCAATCTTATATCATATATGTTTTTATTCCATTATTTCAAAATAAACAGCTAAACAATAATTAAATACTTCACGTTTACTCTCACTTGTAGTTCAAGTGGCTATAGCAACTGAACTGTAGACTTTGTTATACAAGAAACTACCAAGGTTAAAACTTTTTTTTTCCTTCTGACAATAAATTACATGTACATACAAGTTTACCAGTAACTTGAAACAAATTCCTAGAACTGGCCTCGAAAAGAAATGGTTATAGACACATCTGAATTCAAGCTATGCCATTCCCACTTACAAAGTAGAAGTTCTCAGCAACTCTTTTAAGTTGAATAGCATGTTTATAAACAATAGAAAGGGTGGATTTTTTTCTGTTGAAGGTCGTCACTGTACAAGGAAACATCTGCTACACATATGCTTTGAAACATGTTGAAATGAAGCTAAGTTCACTGTTGAGAATAGAATCAGTAGTGTTTGGTAATTTTTTTCCCTTATATGTATTGATTTGATAGACAAAATGCATTTAGAGTTTACTTTTATATTTTAGTTAATTATGTAGTATTTGTGTTTCAAGCTTTATATTTGACAGATTTAATTATTTTTTAAATTATTTTATACTTTGAATTGTTAAAACAGCTTTGACAAACTTACCAGTGCACAAAATATTATGTCATGGGTCTAAACCTATAGCCAAAGTTAATGTTAGATTGTCTGCATGCCCTTATTGATGTGTGTTGAGATGAATAAAATCAGGAGAAGAAAATCAAACTAAAATATACTAAAATTTAAAAGATAAAGATGTGAAATTATGCATGTCAAAAGAAGAATATATATATGAAAGGTAATACATTGAAGAGTTAAAAGGTGTGTACATATTTCTATTTCTTAATCTTAAACATTTCAGTGCACTGTATTTTGATGATAATAGCTAAAGTTAGTGATTTGTAGAGCAAATGTGAAATAAGATATAAACATTTACCTTAGAAATTTTAAATATTCGTTTAGGAGGTTCTGGCGATTATGCAAGTGATATGTAAAAACTGTAAAGTAACAATTAGTATTTTTTTACATAACATGAAAATCACTTTTCCGTGAACTATTCTAAGTCCGAATGCAAATAACTGTTTTTTTTTTAAGTAGAAAAAATCAAAATTAAATGTTTTATTTTTCTGAACTCATACATTTATAAGGACGTTATTGTCAATTTTCAGTAATTTTATTGCTGTAACAATATATCACAAGGGCAGCGCTATACTCACTGGTGGAGTGTGTCTGAAGATAGTTGATCACGGTATTGTTATCTCAGTTTGCATCTCCTGCACTGATCATCGACTTGTTATTGCAGTTTATAGCTCCATGTTGATCATGACCTGTACAAATCTCTATTTTTAGTTTATGTGAGCACTTTTCACTAATGGGAGTTTAAAAGGTCTTTATTACATTTCTCTCACACTTGACGACTGTTGAAAATTCAAAAACTTTTGTTTTCTTATTGTTTACTTTAGTTGTTTTCATTAGCCAACAAAGTTATGATTATATTGTTATTAGAACAACTGATAAACAGCAACAATACTGATTAATTAACCATAAATATTTTAATGATATTGTACATGAATTCTTCACTTTCAGGAGGGTATATCTGTTGGACAATAAATATTGGTGAAAATAAGGACGAGGAGAAATTCAACAATGATGTAGAAAACCTATGTAAGGAAGGCAAGTGGAAGAAGCTATTGGAAAAAGTTCATGATGGCTACTATGGAGAAGAAAAGATTACTATAATGGAAGTTTTGTAAGAGGTGTTACTGTGTTTGTAAGAAAAATATGTGTGCCAGTCGTTTAATAAAAAGAAGAAGAACATAGTCAACACTAAATTTAGAGGTAACAATGGAAATAAAGTGGTGACGAAAAACTTCTGATCAATATAACTTTTGTTGTTCACACCTGCATTTTACTTATCTCTTTAGTTCCAATACATAAATATATTTGAGGATTTGGTTAATAAAACTATTAACTACCTTTTTGCATATGTTAGAGAATGCTATTGAATCTTATACCACTAAGTTGAAGTAGTAAGCTAATATTAAAATAAATATGAAACGATTCTCTTAGTAACTTATGAAAACATTTACATACTTTTTTAAAGTTACATAGAAACTTTTTAGCATTCTTTTCATGTAATGTACAAATAAAAAATATATATATACAGAAGAATTTACCAGTGAATGTGATCACTCGGTTTGGCGTAGTGAAAATTAAGGTTATTCCCTCTTTAATCGTCAGACAGTGTTCCAAAACATCCTAGAGTAGTTCAGTTGGATTCACCTCATTTTCTTACCTGGACAAGGCAGAATGTCAATGATTTTGTTTCAAACTACTGCTAGATACTGAAGTGTAGTATGACATGGTGCATTAAACTAAAAGATGTAGAGTCTTCTCCATAGAATTCCGCTAGTACTGGCAGTGCAGAATGTTCCAGAAGTATTCCTCTTTCTAGGCTCTCGAGCTTCTTTCTTCGTGATATTTTGACCTCATCTGGATCTTACTAGTAGCTGCTCATCTATGTCATCACCACATGTGGCAAAACGGCTACTGACCTGTGGCGAATTGGTGCTTTACTTCTACCACCTATTTTTTAAAAATTTGATTTATCCAAGTATCAGTTTTAAAAAGTGTCCACTTTTATATTTTTTGAAATATGGATGAAAAGTTATGATAAAATTGAAACTTTTTGTGGCACATATGAAGGTTCAATATTTCACGCACTTTCCAAACATGGAGCAATATAGAGAAACTCCTGATTTTCATAAGCAGCGCTATGTGGATTGGTTGCAGAATTTACTCCGAAAATTTGAACAGCGCTTTCCGATTTTGTAAAATAGAGAATTGTTTTTGAATTCATGCAAGATCCATTTCACTTTGACATTTTAAATTTTGGGTTCAACGTGGCTTTGTGAATCAATTTTTTCTACTGTGAAAATGGTGAAATCAAAATATAGGTCGCAGATATTGGACGAAAATTTGGAGGCAGAGTAGATATGTAGTCTAATTGATTTTATGCCTGATTTCCCTGCACTACTTAATGAAAAGATATGTCAGATTTCTTATTAATTCTATCAGTAAATAATTGAAAACATTACTGTGTTTTTCTACCCTTATATATCTATTAAAAACACAGTGTTTTGTCATGTATCGAAAATCTTAACACATTCTCCACAATTTTGGCAATTATGAAAAAACTGTTGGACACTGCTGCCTTATAACAATTATAATGAGAATGAACCCATTGGTAACTGAGCTGTGTTATTTTAAAACTGTTTATAATATAATGTATGTTTGATTTAATACTATTATATAATAAAGTTAGAATTCAATGTGGATTACTTTAACAAAAAAAAGATATTTTATCATGAGTTCTTTTGATACTCTAACCCATAATATAAAAATAATTTAACTTTTTCTAAAAAAATAAGGTACTTTTAGAGGAATTACCTACAAAGTTAAAACCATTAAACCTACAAAGGTTTAAAATAACATAGCATTATTTCTGTCTGCCGTCCATGTTCGGAATTAACATTTGGAAAATATTTATTATTAAAAAATTATTTATTAATGAACTTGTGTCACAAGTAATGAATGAATTATCACACAATTTGATAGGAACTTTAACTCTTTTATTTTGAAATGATTAAAATATATATATATAACTAATATATTTTGAACTAACATTTTTATTTATTCATTATTAATGAAAAAACCATTTTCAAAGAACATAGTATCAAAAGAATGCCTTCATTTTAATTAGGCCTATTCATAATCAAATTCAAATAATAATATCTATACAGTTGTGCTCAAATTCTATACACCATGAAGAGAGAAGTAATATGATGGAAATATTATATATTGTACAAGAAAACTGTAGAATACACACGTCTGAGATTATATACAATCCAAACATAATGAGTTGGCGAAAGTGGTGTTTTAGCTTATGTTTACTTGTGTGTTTACCTATTAGATAATTTGACGTGTTGGACCAACTTTATTAGAGAGGTCTAAATGCCAAAGTCAGACTCTTGCTATAACCCTAATCCAATTACATATTTGCTGTGCTTCTGGTCACGCAAAAAATAAAATAGTCAATTAGAAAGTCGAGAAGAAGATCTAACGAGGGTTTATTAAGTTTGATAAACACGGAACTCGTGATTATGACACTTATGATTCTACACTCTACTAGAATCCTCTTTACTTATCAATCCAATAATTATGATCATTTCATTTACAATCCCTTGGCAGCATTCTTATTTCTTATCTAAATCATGGTTTATAATATTTTAAAAATAAATTATTAGGTTAATAATTACCTTTCTCTTCTCATTATGAAAAGTGTTCAAAATACGATAATACTGTACATGCTACTGTTGTGAAGGCACTTCGGTAGAGAGTTTTGTAAAGAAAAAACAAGCACTTTAATAACCGGGCATAGACCCTCTGATGAGTCAGCAACGAGGATAATTAATTAGACGCAGCATAGACGACTCAAAAAAACTCTGTATGGAAAACACTGACATAGGATATTGTGAAATCATACGTTACACACATTAAGATATCAGCTCATACATGTAACACATAACAGTTACTATGCCCATACCTGGTAAGTTCGTTATATTTTCTTTTTTTTTTGGCGTTGGTAACTTCATGATTATTGTTCAACCATTGAACATAAATGTGTTTGTAAACGTGATTATTAGTAATGGAAACTGTGCATCTGCCTTTTTTTTTATGAGGAGCTGGGCGCCACCTAGTGATTAACGTGCCTGGACTGTAAATTTTGGTAACTCGTTTCTGCAAAAGCGCTCCGTACTTTGGGGCCATGAGTGCACTATAAGGTGATCATTAAATCCCACTAGCCGTAAGTTTTGCTCACTAACAGACTTCCCTTTAGCATATATGTTTAAAATTAGTTACAGCTATGTGCAGATAGTCCTTATGTATCTTTGAATGAAATTTTGAAACATACAACAGTTTTGTGATGTAATTGGCGACATTGTTTAATATAACCTACATACAACAATAACCTACTCGTCTAATCCTATCTTCGAAAAGCACCGATGATATTAATCGTTTATTTCGGAATAAAGCGTCATTTATCACAAGATGAATGAAGTATCTTGGAATTAAACTAATTTCACTGAAGACGTGATGATTAATTTTATCCACCAATTTTTAGCAAGAGATATTATTTTAATTTTTTTTTTTGGCAGGTCCACTTTTCTGAATTAGAACGATTTGGGGAAATATAAATCATCGTCAATATAATTGGTGGTGGGGAAATATCATTATATACTCGTCAATAAATTTTTAGACATTATGATTTTCCGTTTAATAAATTGTAGCCCCCTAGTGGCACAGCGGTATATCTGCGGACTTACAACGCTAGAAACCGAGTATCGATACCTGTGGTGGGCAGAGCACAGATAGCCCATTGTGCAGCTTTGTGCTTAATTCCAAACAAACAAATAACAGACTGTAATAATGTGTTCTCTGAATACTTCTAAAATTATAAGGTTTTTAATAAATTGACAAACAAATAAGATAAAATGACAGTATACATATTTGATTAATATATAATCAACCAAAGTGATTGACTAGTTTTAACCATTTGTCTGCCATTAATTTAACCAGAGAATTGATTAAAATATAATTACCTTCTTCAGAACTAATTCGTAATCTTGGGCGATTGTAGAATTTGTTAATTTTATCAATTGGGATAAAGAAGAAATTAAAAAGACCAATTAAGACCACTGCATACGATGAAACAACGCCCTCGGCAACAGATTTTATTAACTAAATCAAGACTAGCCTAGTTATGTTTGGGATATCATTTAACAATTTCTATAATGTTAGCATTTGAAATGCTGCTAAATCTCTCTGTTTATAAGACAAAACTAGCTGTATGAATACGGTAGCTCTACTGTTCCTTTACTGGTGTGTCACTGAAACAAAACTGTCGGTTTGTTTACTATTTATTTATCTTAAATTAGAAATCATAATATATTCATATATATTTTACTTTAAAAAATAATAATACTAATAATAAGCATTACCAGTCAAGTATTTAAGTTAGCATACGTATGATCGACAAGAAACACATACTAAGCTACTTTTCTATGTGATATCAGTTTCACAACAATCTAAGTAATGTCAATATTTATAAATTCTCGTTAATTAGAACTTATCGAATTAATAGTCTTGCTACTTTCAACTTGTTTTTCATATGCATATTTTTATATTTTATAAATCAACAAAATTGATACCGATTACGAATATTCGCTATAACCTCTTCCATTACCTACAGCACCAGAAACATACACACGCACAAAACGATTAAATTATTGTCAAGTAGCCACTTCTTCACATTTTCATTGTAATGGCAGTTGAACCTTGTAACTTGCACCTAAAAAACGCTCTGAAAAAAATATCTCGGTTACAGAATTTCAAGTGTAGTCACATGTTGAAACCACATAAAGATACACTTACAAGTTATCATTCGTTATCAAAACCAACAAACATAGATAAGTATTTTAAGGTTGCTCGAGGAGAGAAACTTCTACACTCTTCTTTTTTTATTTCTGGCACATTTATCACGAACTTTGACCTTTTAATAACGCCTGATTAACGAAGAACAAAGATGGCTTTATTATAAGTTAACTAGATATTATTCTGTGTCATATACACAGAACACAACTGTCTCTAGAAATATTTTTTTTCAAAAGCGTGAATCAGCGGTAAACGTTAGGCTTATAACGCTAAAAAACGGGGTTCGATGCTCGACGTTGATACAGTGCTGATAGCTCATTTTGTACCTTTGTATTTACACACAAAACAAACAAATACTTAAAACTTTGATTATTATTTTGATGTAAATTATATCAAATACATCTGTTTAGGAAATTTTTGAATAAGGTTTAATGCCTCTAGGCCAAGGTTTCTTCCCATTAACTTGTTCACAATTGTAGTTGTGACTTTCGC